CTACCTATGATTCCAATTACAGGCCTCTCTCATCTTTTTAAGTGGGAGAACTTGCACAATTGGTGGCTGACTAAATACTTTTTTTGCCCCACTGTACATATACTGTACATGTGACAGAGTATTGTCTAATATATAAATCTGAGGTCAGATCCATGGTTTTATACCCACCACAGTTGGGAGGAGCCCAGTTGGGGCATCATTTGACCTGATCCAATCATTATTATTATTATTATTATTATACAGTATTTATAAAGCGCCAATAGTCAGAGCTGTACATTACAAAGGGGGACAGAACAATAACAATACAATGCAAAACATGAGGAGATCAAGGGCCCTGCTCTTTTGAGCTTACAATCTAGGAGTGAGGGGATGGTGGCACAGGAGGAGAAAGCTGTGGGGGACGGAGTGGTAGGAAGAGTGGAGGAGGGTCGGCAAGTTAGCACGGGGTGGGGTAGGCTTCCCTGAAGAGGTGCGTTTTCAGGGTGCGCCTAAAGGAGAGTAGGTGATAATCTGATGGGTTGGGGCAGGGAGTTCCAGAGGATGGGTGACACCCTGGAGAAGTCCTGGAGGAGGGCATGGGAGGAGGAGACCAGGGAACTAGAGAGGAGGTGGTCTTGTGAGGAACGGAGTGTGCGTGCTGGGTGGTACTTGGATATTAGGTCGGTAATGTAGTTCGGGGCAGTATGGTGGACAGCTTTGTACGTCAGTGTTAGGATTTTGAATTTGATCGGAAGCCAGTGGAGGGATTGGCAGAGGGGGGTGGCGGAAACAGAGCGTTTGGAAAGGTGAATGAGTCTGGAAGCCGTATTCAGAATCGACTGATAGGATCGGATAGCCAGCGGCGAGGCAGGCCAGTAAGGAGGGAGTTGCAGTAATCGAGTCGTGATATGATGAGGGAGTGGGTGAGCTGTTTATTAGTTTCTGGGGTTAGGAACGTGCATATTTTGGCGATGTTGCGGAGGTGGAGTCTGCATGAGTTTGTTAAAGATTGGACTTGGGGCTGGAAGGATAGGTTGGAGTCCAGAATGACATCAAGTACTCTGGCCTGCGGGGCGGATTTGATGGTGGTATTGTTGGACATGATGGAGAAGTCAATGGGGGGTGGGGTCCGGGCTGGGGGGAAGACAAGAAACTCGGTTTTGGAGAGGTTCAGTTTAAGGAAGTGGAGCGACATCCAGTCTGATATGCCGCTCAGTAGGTGTGTGATTCGGGTGGAGACTGAGGGGGTGAGGTGGGGTGTTGAGAGATAGATTTCTGTGTCGTCGGCATATAGGTGGTAGCTGAAGCTGTGAGAGTGTATGAGTTGGCCAAGGGAGGAGGTGTAGATGGAGAACAGAAGGGGCTCGAGGGCGGAGCCTTGAGGGACCCCAACAGAGAGGGGGAGTGAGGGGGAGGTGGGTAGCATTATAGGTAATGCTGAAAGAGTGTTGTGACAGGTAGGATGAGAGCCAGGAGAGAGCAGAATCTCTGAGGCCGAAGGAGTGTAGTTTTTTGAGGAGGAGGGGGTGGTCGACTGTGTCGAAGGCCGCAGAGAGGTCAAGGAGTAGGAGCACTGAATAGTGGCCATTAGCTTTGGCGGTTAGCAGGTTGTTGGAGAGTTTGAGTAAGGCAGTTTCGGTGGAGTGTAGGGGACGGAAGCCGAACTGTAGGGGATCGAGGAGGTTGTTGTCGTTGAGGTGAGAGCTTAGGCGGGTGTAGACTAGGCGCTCGAGGAGTTTGGATGTGAATGGGAGCAGGGAGATGGGTCTGAGGTTGTTCGGGTCATTGGGGTCCAGGGAGAGCTTTTTAAGTGTGGGGGTGATGTGTGCATGCTTCAGAGGGGAGGGGAAAGTGCCGGAGGAGAGGGAGAGATTAAAGATGTGGGTGAGGAAACATAGGATGGAGGGGGAAGGAGGTTGTAGGAGTTGTGAGGGGATAGGGTCGAGGGGGCAGGTGGTGAGGCGGGCATCAGAGAGGACCTTGGAGACTTTCCTCGATGGTAGTAAGGTCAAAGGTGCGGAGTGTTGAGGGGGCTTCAGTATGAGGAATGTAGGGTGGGGTGGAAGTGGAGGTCAGAGCAGTGGTGGGGCCGTGGGAGAGGGGTGATGAGGGGGTAGCTGAGTGAGGGGGAACAGGGTTGGAGGGAGTTTGAGCAGTGATGAAGTCCCTGCGGGTTATGTCGAGGGAGAGGGGGGATGAGGGGGTAGCTGTGTGAGAGGGGGGACGGGTTGAGAGGGAATGTGAGTTGCGGAGATGTCCTTATATAAATCATTATATAAAGACCAGTTATGCAACATCCAAAAATTGTCTCTAAAGAAGAGGGGATCCCCCCTTGAAAGATATCCGCCTTGTGGAAGGTCTTATCCCGCTGAGAACTTCAGGTTTCCAGGCCACTACAAGTACATTGTGGACTTTGATATCTCTTATTGCTAATGTTGTTTGTGAGTATACATCTGTTTTTTTTTTTTTAACATAAATAAAGCAAAGGTAATGTGCTAGGTTGGTGTGCCCTCTGTTCCTTGTTTTTTTTTCAGTATTTCTTCTCAGTTTCCCGGCCCATAGGGGGCAGCAAAGCCGGCGCAAACATTGTATTAGCAGATTATGGATTGACTTTTGCCAGTGCGCTGCTTTCAAGCACAGGAGATTGATTTGTTTTGTCTACTAATGTGGTCAGAGTTTCTGATCTCCTTCCCTATCACCTGGTGCTGCAAACGCATAGAGCCTAGGTGTGCTTGAAATTGAGCTCTTTGGGGCTTAGGCCAAAAATAGATTGGTAAACATGTATTCATATTTAAACATGTAATTTTGTGTTTTTCTATGTGAAAACAAAAATACTTTGATGTGTTTATTTGAACACAGAATGTCACAGAATGTCCACATAGACATAGGCTACATTGCTTTCACAATGACATCAAGCAAGAATGCATGGTTACACACACACACATACATATACACACACACTAATATATATATATATATATACACATACATACATACACACACACACACAGTTGTGCTGAAAGGTTTACATACCCTGGCAGAAATTGTGAATTTTTGGCATTGATATTGAAGATATGATTAATCATGCCAAAAAATGCTCTTTTATTGAAGGATGATGATCATATGAAGCCATTTATTATCAAATAGTTGTTTGGCTCCTTTTTAAATCATAATAACAGAAATCACCCAAATGGCCATGATCAAAAGTTTACATACCCTGGAATGTTTGGTCTTGGTACAGACACACAAAGTGACACACACGGGTTAAAATTCCAATTAGAGGTTAATGTCCCACATATGTGGCTTTTTAAATTGCAATTAGTGTCCGTGCAAAGAACTGTCAAAAATCCTGCGTAACCAGGTAATGGAACTTTATAAAGATGGAAAAGGACATAAAAAGATGTCCAAAGCCTTGAATATGCCAATCAGTATTGTTAAATCATATATTAAGAAGTGGAAAGTTAGGGGATCTCCTGATACCAAGCCAAAGTCAGGTAGACTAAGATAGATTGTAGCCAAAACTGACAGAAGAATTTTCCGGGATTCAAAGAAAAATCCACAGGCAACCTCAAAAGAAATACAGGTTGCTCTGGAAAAAGATGCTTTGGTTGTTTTTAAGGAGTACTATACGGTGATACTTGAACAAAAATGAGCTGTTTGGTCGAGGTGCCAGAAAGAAGCTTTTACTGCACCAATGCCACAAAATAGCCCAGTTAGAATATGCCTGACAACACCTTGACATGCCTAACCAGGCTTTTTTGTGTCATTGATGCAGTAAAGGCTTCTTTCTTGCAGCTCGACCACGCAGTTCATTTTTGTTCAAGTTCCATCATATTGTGCTCCTTCAAAACAACCACACTGTCTTTTTCCAGAGCAGCCTGTATTTTTCTTGTGGTTACCTATGGGTTTCCCTTTGTATCCCGACAATTCTTTTAGCAGTTGTGGCTGCAATCTTTCTTGGTCTACCTGACCTTGGGTTGGTATCAAGAGATCCCTAAACTTTACACTTCTTAATGGGTGAATTAACAGTACTGATTGGCATATTCAAGGCTTTGGACATCTTTTTATGTCCTTTTCCATCTTTATAAAGTTCCATTATCTTGTTACGCAGGACTTTTGACAGTTCTTTACTGATCCCCATGGCTCAGTATCTAGCCTAGTCAGTGCTTCCAAGTAAGGGCTAACAAACTCATTGACTATTTATACACTGACACTAATTGCAATTTAAAAGGCCAAACATTCCAGGGTATGTAAACTTTTGATCATGGCCATTTGGGTGATTTCTTTTATCATTATGATTTAAAAAGGAGCCAAACAAATATTTGATAATAAATGGCTTCACATGATCATCATCCTTCAATAAAAGAGCATTTTTTGGCATGAGTAGTCATATTTTCAATATCGATGCCAAAATTTCACAATCCCAGCCACGGCACTACCTGCCTGGAGTTTGCATGTTCTCCCTGTGCCTGCGTGGGTTTCCTCCGGGTACTCCGGCTTCCTCCCACATTCCAAAGACATGCTGGTAGGTTAATTGGATCCTTTCTAAATTGGCCCTAATATGTGTATGTATGAATGTAAGTTAGGGACCTTAGATTGTACACCCCTTGAGGGTTGGGGACTGATGTGAATGTACAATATATATGTGAATATATGTGAATGTACAATATGTATGTCATAAATTGACGGCGCTATATAAGTACCTGAAATAAATAAATACATTTCTGCCAGGGTATGTAAACTTTTGAGCACAACTGTACAAATATATATATATATATATATATATATATTATTATAAACCTTTTGCAATAATCAAAAATATTGCAATATTATAAACAATAAAACGTCCACCACCATAAAGTAATGCTCATTTTTTTCTGTGAATCCCCTTAGTAAATTTCACCACCATTGCAAAACATCAGCCTCTTACCGAATTTAAAGACCTCAATACAAGGAAGGTCTAATATCATTCATTGATGTCAAAGGACTGTTTGACTTTAGTGTAATATATAGTACTTTACCTTTAATAGTCCCATGTCATTAAGATACAAATGCTGCAGTGACCGAGATAATGGCAAGAAGGCACCGTTTTCAATTTTTCTGATAGGATTCTTGGATAGTCTTAACTCTGTCAGCATAGGCAATCCTTTGAGTGCATATGTCGGTACCTCTTTCAGCTTATTCTCATCTAGATAGAGTTTTTCTAGAAACTTCATATTTTTAAAAGCTGTTGGTGTAATTAAACTTATGTTATTTCCTGTTAAATATAACCAGCGTAGTTTTTCTGCATCAGCCATGTCTGCAAGTAAAGTAATAGAATTATACTGCATGTGAAGGGATAAAAGATTTGGAAGAAGTCCAAAAATTTCCATTGGAACCTTAATAAACTTGTTATTGTCTAAGAAAAGATATCCAATGTTTGGTGCTCCCTGGAAGACATCAGGATTTAAAACAGAAATCTGATTATTAGACAAGTAAAGGTATATTAAATTCTTCATTCCTAGAAATGCTTCTGGTTGAAGATCCTTAATATCGCAATGCTGGAGATGAAGAGAAATTACATTTTTCAAATCAAAGAATGCTCTTTTAGGAACAACATTAAATATATTTCTACGTAGATCAATCAAGCTAGTGTCCTTAGGAAAACCTTGGGGTATCTGCCTTAGGAATTTATTTTCACAAATGGCATGTTTAACATCGGATTTGCAGATGCAGGTCTTTGGACATAGCTTTTTTCCAGGTGTCTTTTCCGTAGCTGGCAAAATATTATAAGCTTCAAATGGAAATATTCCACATTTTAGGTCAATAGCCCTTAGAGAGTCCAGGTGATCTCCATGAAAATGATTAGGGCCAAAGCAAAATAGATCAACCTTCAGTCTTTTTACATCTGCCCAAACTTTGAACAATTGTATTTGACAATCACAAGGTACACTGTTACCTGTCAAGTTTAGATATTTCAGCTGTTCAACTCCAGCCAGTGGTTGTAGTGTACTAATCTGATTGTTACTGATGTCAATTAAAGAAATCTGTTTGCTTTTTTCAAACGCTTTGAAAGATACTTCCTGTAATGCCATGTTATTAATATATAACTGTTTGAGGGATGTCATATGGATAGCTTCTTCTTGAATAAATGTCATTGGATTCCATCCCAGTTCTAACTTTATAAGACCAGACAGTCTAGAGAAAGCCTCTGTTGGAAAGTACTGAAGTTCATTGTGGTCGAGATTTAGCCTTCTGAGGTTGGGTAGTCCTGCAAATGCTTCATATGATACAATGTTAATCATATTGTTAGAAAGACACAAAAATTTAAGCTGCATCAGTCCTTGAAACAACATATCTGGCAAGTAGACCAATAAATTATTGCCAATGTTTAAAAAGTTCAAAAGACCTAATTGGCTAAATGCTCCTGGCCTTATCTCCTCAAGGTGGTTTTTCTCAAGGTTTAAATGTAGTAGAGATGAAAGTCCATCAAAAGATTCCTGATATATGAAACTTATTTGGTTGGAGCCAAGGTTGAGATGCAACAAACGTCCAAGGCTTCTGAAAGCACCTTCTTCTATTGTTTCAATGCCACAGTTGTATAGACTAAGATGAGTTAGATAAGGCGTTGAAATAAATGCTCTTGATGAAATCACCTTTAGATAATTTCCTTGTAGATTTAGTTTTTGTGTGTACTGTAATGGCAAACAAATTACAATCTTATCATGCGTTTGTAGTCAATTTCACACATTCACACAGAAAAAGAATATTTAAAGTGGAGCTTTAGTCCAACCATCAACATTGACTTTTAATCCTTATCCTACTAACATTATAAATAGATAGAAAAGTATATCATATTTACTTTAAAACGTTATAAACTCTTTTTTACAATTCTTCATTTACTTCCTGGTTTCTCAGCCTAGGCAAATAATGACATACATCCCAGGAATATTGAGGAAGGGAGGAGGCTTTTCTCAGCTAAGCGTATCCTCCTGCCTGCATGCCTGAACTAAAGACAGATGGATTCCAGGAAGTACAGTTGCAAGAAAAAGTATGTGAACCCCTTGGGATTACGTGGAGTTTTGCATGAATTGGGCATAAAATGTGCTCTGAACGTCATCTAAGTCACAACAATAGAAGAACACAGTCTGCTGAACATAACACTACACAAACATTAGATGTTGCCATGGTTTAATTGCACATAACATGTAAACATTCACAGTGCAGGGAGGAAAAAGTATGTGAACCTTTGGAATTAATAACTGGTTGACCCTCCTTTTGGCAGCAATAACCTCAACCAAACGTTTCCTGTAGTTGCAGATCAGACCTGCACAACGATCTGGAGTAACTTTGGACCACTCCTCTTCACAAAAACTGTTTCAGTGTAGCAATATTCTTGGGATGTCTGGTGTGAATCGCTCTCTTAAGGTCATGCCACAGCATTTCAATCGGGTTGAGGTCAGGACTCTGACTGGGCCACTCAAGAAGGTGTATTCTGTGCTGTTGCAGCCATTGTTTTGTTGAATTACTTGTATGCTTTGGGTCATTGTCCTGTTGCATAACCCATCCTCTGCGGAGCTTCAGTTGGCGGACAGATCGTCGTACGTTTTCCTGCAAAATGTCTTGATAAACTCTGGAGTTCATTTTCCCATCAATGACAACAATCCATCCAGGCCCTGAGGCAGCAAAGCAGCCCCAAACATGATGCTCCCTCTGCCATGTTTTACAGTGGGGATGAGGTTTTGATGTTGGTGTGCTGTGCCTTTTTTTCTCTACACATAGTGTTGTGTGTTCTTCCCAAACAACTCAATCTTGGTTCCATCTGTCCACAGTATATTTTGCCAGTAGTAATGTGGAACATCCAGGTGCTCTTTTGCAAACTTCAAACGTGCTGCAATATTCTTTTTGGACAGCAATGGCTTCCTCCGTGGTGTCCTCCCATGTACTCCATTCTTGTTTAATGTTTTCCTTATTGTAGATGTGTCAAAAAAATGTTAGCATGTGCCAGAGAGTTCTGTAGGTCTTTAGCTGACACTCTGGGATTCTTCTTTACCTCATGCAGCATTCTGCGCTGTGCTCTTGCAGTCATTTTTACAGGACGACCATGCCTAGGGAGAGTAGCAACAGTGCTAAACTTTCTCCATTTGTAGACAGTCTGTCTTACCGTGGACACATGAACATCAAGGCTTTTGGAGATACTTTTGTAACCCTTTCCAGCTTCATGCAAGTCAACAATTCTTGATCGCAGGTCTTCTGAGAGCTCTTTTCTGCGAGGCATGGTTCACATCAGACAGTGCTTCTTGAAACCAGTAAACCCAAAACAGGTGTGTGTTTTTTAAGGGCAGGACAGCTGTCAGCAACACATCCAATATTATCACACTGATTGGAATCAAGGTTGGCTCACTTCTCGCTCCAATTAGCTCTGGAAGAAGTCATTAAGCTAGGGCCTCACATACTTTTTCCTCCCTGCACTGTGAATGTTTACATGTTATGTGCAATTAAACCATGGCAACATCTAATGTTTGTGTAGTATTATGTTCAGCACACTGTGTTCTTCTATTGTTGTGACTTAGATGACGTTCAGAGCACATTTTATGCCCAATTCATGCAAAACTCCACGTAATCCCAAGGGGTTCACATACTTTTTCTTGCAACTGTAAATGGTACATGAATCATATTCTCAAGATGACCACGGACAGAAATGCTAGGGGTGTGTTTCAAAGTAATTTCTCAGCAAAATAAAGCATGTAGACATGGATAGAAGCGTGCGTTCGTTTGCATAATAAAAATGAATTAAATAGCATTTTTGGTTTGTGGTGTTCATCAATGCATCTGCATTGTAGTTCCGTTTTAAATTCAACACATGCAGAAAATATTTTTTTTTCATATTAGATCTTTTTTTAATCACCTCCCATCCGGCCGTTGTATATAAACGGCCGGACGGTGGCAGTGCAGGGTAGGGTGGCCGTTTATAAACGGCCACCCGACCTCTGCTTGTGTGCGCTCCCTGGGAGTGCGCGTGATCCTGTGCCCGCTGTGTCCCCCGGACACAGTGGAAAACCGATCGTCGTACGGGACCTCTCTGCGAAGTCCCAATCATGTGATCACTGATTGGCCAATCAGTGATCACATGCAGAGTAGTAAGCAAGATGTCACTTCTGACATCATTGCGTACTACGTGTGAAATCTGTGAATGATCACAGAGGTCACATGGTACAAGGCCTTGTATATTTTGAATTATTTCTTGCCAAAATACCTGTATTTTTGGACATTCCCACCAAATGTGTGCCATTGTACCTATTGCTCCACATCCCCTCCAACACAATGGTGATATTTCCTCTCGCTGTTTATGTGCCACATTCAGTGTACAATACCATCTAGACATACATTTATAGTTCATTTCAATTGTGTTCATATTCCTCACCCCATGTATTAATTTAAACATTTTACTCTTTTGTTGTTCGTTAATTTATTGTACCCAGTTCTCTTTCCCATTTCTCTAAGAATGTCGGAGTTTCTGCTTCTGTAAATTCAGATAAGACCTTGTAAATTTTTGATACAATATGTTCACAACTCGTCTTTGAACTGAATAGTTTTTCAAATGGTAGCATCTCTTCCGGCACCCTCAGTGGCTGGGGGAGTTTTGTGACAAAATGGCTTAATTGACTATATCTTAATTCATCTAGTGCAACAAATTTATTCTTTAATTGTTGAAAAGTGCATATCTTTCCTTTATCTACTATGTCTCTCAAACGTGAGTTACTATCTTTGAACCAATTTTCCCGACACCTTCTCTCTCCATGGTGGTAAAAATGTTGTGTTCACCAATGGCATCAATAATGCATTATAATTCCACCCCATAGATTTGTGTATACCCAAACTCTCAACACTTCTCTTGTCAACGTGCTACTTTTTTCATCTATTATTCAACATTTTCATGGAATCCAAATAATCTTCTCCAATTGTGCATTACTTATTGTACTTTCCATTGTAACCCAACTTTTTTCTTGTGACTTATATGTCCATTCCACCACCCATGCTAATAATACTGATATACTGTATAACATTTCTTTATATTTGGCAAGTTTAGTCTTCCTTTCTCTTTTTTTGTTACATAAAATTTCAGATTTAATTCTAGGTTTCTTATTTTCCCATATAAATCTCATTATTATTTTTCTTATTATCCTAAAAAAGGAACCAGGTAATTTTATTGGGAGCATTTGAAACTTATACAAGATTTTTGGTACTATTATCATCTTAACCAGATTTATTCGTCCAATCCATAAGGCCCATCCTCCTGAGAGTCTTCTTATCTCATCTTTAATTTTGTTTATTAACAGAATATAATTAGCTTGATGCAGATCTTTTATTGCAGAGGTTAATGATATACCCAGATAACTTAATTCTCTTTCCCTCCATATGAATGGGATGTCTTCTTGTAAATTCTTCTTATCCATTGATATTTAGAATCTCTGATTTTGTGGGATTCATTTTTAGATTAGACAACTCTCCATATTGCTTTATTAACTTCATTAAATTGGGTAATGTTATTCTAGGATTCTCTATGTAAAATAGCATATCGTCTGCATATGCTGCTACCTTATGTTATACTTCTCCTATTTTAACTCCTGTAATATCTGTGTTCTTTCTTACTGATACTAATAGTGGTTCTAAGTATAGGGCAAACAGTAATGGCAACAGTGAGCATCCCTGTATGGTTCCATTATACAAACCAAAGGGTTCAGACAGGTTCCCATTAACTCTCACCGCCGCTGAAGGGCAATTATAAAGTTCTTTTATCCATTTCATCATCTTATCTCCAATTGCCATGACCTCCAGTGTATTTTATTATCTTTTCCTTCTCTTCCTGGTATAAACCCCACCTAGTCCAAATGTATCTATTCCGGCATCAGCTCTTTCAGCCTAGTAGCCAGTACCTTTGCGTAAATTTAGTGTCAGTATTTAACAATGATATGGGGGTCTATAACTAGTACATTGAGAACCATCCTTTCCCTCTTTAAGACTAATAGTTATGTGGGCATGTAATGATTAGCTTCTCATTCCCATTCCCTCTCCCAATGCGTTCATGTATCTACAGAGTTTGAGCATTAATATCTCTTTAAATTTTTTGTAATACGCCACCGTATAACCATCTGGGCCTGGGCTCTTTCCTCCCACTGTGCTTTTCAAAGCCTTCCTAATTTCATCCTTAGAAATATTTTGTTCTAATAATATTAGTTTTTCTTTTGCAATCTTTGGTAAGTCTGCATTTATTAAAAATTCTTGCCTTCTCCTATTCTTATCTTTCTGTCAGGAAAGGGCTCACTGCTGGTGGTGCTGTGGCTCACCTCCTCTGTGGGCTGCAGTACCAGTCCCTACCAAAGAGTGCCGTTCAGCAGCCAGGATCTCACCTCCAGCAATCAAGCTATCACCTGAGGCTGATTGCAGGAGGTGTATTTAAACAGCAACCAGTCCTGCGATCAGTGCCTTGGTGTTTTCCTTGAGCCTCTGTTACCTGCTAACCTGTTACCTGCTAAACCTGCTACCTGCTCTGTGTCCCGTGTAGGACCCCGGCTGGCCTGACTACTCTTGCTAAAACAGCTACCTGCTCTGTGTCCCGTGTATGACCCCGGCTGGCCTGACTACTCTTGTTGCTGTTCGTGTTTGTATTGGTTGTAGGGGTTGTTATTGAGTTGTTGTTGTTGCACTGTGCGTTGTTACTGTGTCTCACAAATAAATGGTAATATTTTCATTACTCCTGAAGCCTGGTGTTCCCTATGTCAGTCCACACATCTCTGGTCATAGCCAGCTTACTGACATAACACCAAGGCCAGTCCTGACCAGAAGTGGCTGCACAGGAAGCCATCTTGGCTTGTTATTTGTGAAGGATGCATCCTGAGGAGGTTGTGTACTTGTCTTAGAAGACAGAGAATACGGCTATCAGATTCTGAAGGAGTGGGCCAGGGATCAGCTGCTAGAGTTGCTCATTCTCTAGTAGATCAGGGCAGGGTGTTTTCTGAGGTGCAGCCATTGATCCAGGTTTGTGCTGAATTGGCTCTGTCCAGTACCCCTGAAAGCAAGGATGACTTTTCTCCACCATTCAGTGTGGATCAAGTAGAATCACTGGTATGGTTGTTGGAGAATGATCCGGATTGCTTCTTGGAGAATTATTCAGCATGTTCACAACATGTGCTAGTGGATTGTATAAATACAGTGCAGTCTTCGGTCAGACAGGCTACGTGTAAACTGAGCTTTGTTCAACCAGTATTACAGACATGGTCAGATTTGTTACACCCAGCCTCAGTCAGCTTGCATGAACCCAGTCCTGCTTCTAATCATTCCTCTGCTCGAAGCTCTCTTCCTCCATTCCCCACAGCACCCCCAGTTACAGCCCACTATGCTCTGCTATCAACCACATGTCAGTACCCTGTTCCCACTCGCTGCACCTATCCTGCCTTTAACCCTGTAAAGAAGTCCTCTGTGGTAACTGCTCCCTTCTCTGTTCCATCCTTCAGCTCTTCAGCTGCTCCCTCCGTTTACAGCCCTGCATTCACTTGCAGTACTCCAGTAACTAAACCCAAGAAGAAGCGACAATTCTTTCCAACTAGTACCATCCTGCCAGTATCCAAATCAGTCAACTTGCTGTCTGAGAACCCGCCTTCTGTTATCCCCCCTGATGACCTGATGCCTGTTATCCAGCCTGATGATCCTATCCAGCCTGATGACCCGGTCCCCGCTATCCAGCCTGATGATCCTATCCAGCCTGATGATCCGGTGCCCGCTATCCAGCCTGATGATCCTATCCAGCCTGACTCGGTGCCCGCTATCCAGCCTGATGACCCGGTGCCTGCAATCCAGCCTGATGATCCTATCCAGCCTGATGACTCGGTGCCTGAAGACCAGGTGCCTGCTGCTCCACCCGATGACCCGGTGCCCGCTGCTCTGCCCGATGACCCGGTGCCCGCTGCTCCGCCCGATGACCCGGTGCCCGCTGCTCCGCCCGATGACCCGGTGCCCGCTGCTCCGCCCCGATGACCCGGTGCCCGCTGCTCCGCCCGATGACCCGGTGCCCGCTGTCGAGCCTGATGACCCGGTGCCCGCTGTCGAGCCTGATGACCCGGTGCCCGCTGTCGAGCCTGATGACCCGGTGTCCACCATCCAGCCTGATGACCCGGTGCCCGCTGTCGAGCCTGATGACCCGGTGTCCACCATCCAGCCTGATGCCCTGATGCCTGATGACCCGATGCCCGCTATCCAGCCTGATGATCCTATCCAGCCTGATGACCCGGTGCCCGCTATCCACCCTGATGATCCTATCCAGTCTGATCCGGTGCCCGCTATCCAGCCTGATGATCCTATCCAGCCTGATGATGCGGTGCCCGCTATCCAGCTTGATGATCCTATCCAGCCTGATGACCCGGTGCCGCTATTCAGCCTGATGACCCGGTGCCTGCTATCCAGCCTGATGATCCTATCCAGCCTGATGACTCGGTGCCTGATGACCCGGTGCCTGCTGTTCCGCCTGATGACCCGGTGCCTGCTGTTCCGCCTGATGACCCGGTGCCTGCTGCTCCACCTGATGACCCGGTGCCTGCTGCTCCGCCTGATGACCCCGTGCCTGTTGCCCTGCCGGATGACCCGGTGCCTGTTGCCCCGCCGGATGACCCGGTGCCTGTTGCTCTGCCTGACGACCCGGTGCCTGCTGCCCAGCCTGACGACCCGGTGCCTGCTGCCCGGTGCCTGATGCCCAGCCTGACAACCCTGTGCCTGATGCCCAGCCTGACAACCCTTTGCCTGCTGCCCAGCCTGACGACCCTTTGCCTGCTGCCCAGCCTGACGACCCTTTGCCTGCTGCCCAGCCTGACGACCCGGTGCCTGCTGCCCAGTCTGACGACCCGGTGCCTGCTGCCCAGCCTGATTTGCCAGCCCCTGATGTCCAGCTAAGCTGGCCGATACCTGATTCCCAGCCTGCTTCTGGAGATCCTGTGTCCTGCAACCTGCCTTCCTGTGTTCTCATACATAAAGATAGGTCTGCCAGCAGGAAACCCAGCCAGTCGCTTGACTCTGGCAGTGGGATATCCAGCCAGTTACCTGACCCAGGCGGTGGAACATTTTGCCCATTAAGGACTGTTTGGAGCGTCCTGAGGCTGCTCCTTAAAGGGGGGTGCTGTCATGAAAGGGCTCACCGCTGGTGGTGCTGTGGCTCACCTGCTCTGTGGGCTGCA